CCTCCAATGATCTAGATGTGTAATAAGAAAATATTTTCCAAAATCCGCCTTTTAAAGAGGCGCTCAAACAGGGATCTTGAGATTCAAGATGGATTTTATTTTTATTTATAAATAGTTGCCATTGGTTTCAATCTACAGATTATAATTATTGTAAATTGCAATAGTAGACATTTATTATTATTTTTTATTTAGGTTACTTGGGTGGATAAGGATTGAATCGTCTCGCTTATGCCCTAGAATAAACAAATTATATCTTAAAATAATGAGTATTACAGTTAATTTATAAAATGATTCTTCTATATTATTGTTGCCATTAAACTCAAAAATCACTACCGATTTTAACGAAAATGTCAGATATTGTTTTTTAATTTACTATAAAATATAATATATTATATAAAAGTGTAAAAAGAAATCCTGACTAGGTGGGTGGATTAGGATTTACTGCAGTCATAATTCTGTAACACATGTCTAGATAATATTATCTATAGTGATACGGCTCGGGTACGAACATCTTTGATACATTCGTGTTCGTCATGTAAATGTTGATCGAAAAAGGAGAAACGGACCCACGACAGTGATGTAGCGAGATTGCCTATTCAAGACGCCGTGTCGTCATAATTGTTTCAATGTAATTCATAAAAATCATAGAAACGTATTATGAACATAAATGAATTTGGCTCCCTGACATATAAACAATTGTCAATTCAATCCACAAATTCGTAAGTTATCTTAAAATGTAGAAATAAAAAACGAAAGTTGGGGTCCAAGTTAACGCAGGCAAAATTTTCCGAAAACAATTGCTATTGCGTACGAAGAACGCACATCAAAAGCGTTCAATGGTTTTCACGTATTGATTAGTGGTTTTCTTTTTAAAGTATATCGATAAAATAATGCGCACCGGAAAATAATGTGAATTTAAAAATATAATAATCAATACCGGTTCTAAAGGTCAAGGGTGTTTTGGAAATATTGTTTATTAAAAAAATTTAGACAAATGAATCGGGGGGCTTAATTATAATTGTAGCTGATTTTATTTACATAGACAAATGGGTTACAATATTGTATATTTATCGCCAACCATTTATAATAAATGACGGCTAATGACATATATGTATGGCTGTGGAAAAAAACATTCGATATTATACCTGCGCGTGAAAAATGTATAGTATACATAGATCGTTTTTCTTTTCTTTTTTATATTGTTTTATTTCATTTTGACAGCTCGGCCGTTGGTACTATATTTACATTAATATCACACGCCGATATACGTTAAATCGAATTGAATATTTAAACACAAGACACGCATTTACAATATCGGGTTGCCTGTTCGGTCCAAACATTTAGATTGTATTCGTGACGTTTGGGATATCGACGGTCCTTTTCCGTCTCGTCCGACACTTGTGTAATATAATAATATTATGCATGCCAGACGGCGGCGGTAGATGTTATTTTTGCTCATTTCATCGGAGGTATTTCTGAAATCCAATATAAGGATTTAAAAATTCAGGATTCGTGTCAAATTTGATTTTCTTCTCCCCCGTTTTTTATTTCAGTTTTATCATCTCCACACCTATACATATTATACATTGTATGTTATACCTATATTAGCCACTTATATTCATCGCTTTAGTTTTGATTCTTTTAGCATTATATTTTACACGACATGGTTTACAGCTTATTCTATGCCAAAAATGTTTTGAAAATATTATGTGGTTGGGTTCCCAGGTATTTTCCCCAGCACATCACTCTATTTTTTAAGCAAAAATGAACAGTAATTAGATAAAACTTACTGCACCTTTATCTTATCTAAACAAAAAAGGAAATGGTTATTAGGGTATCGTCAATGATAACAATATGTACTCCCGTCTAGATAAATTAAATTAAGCTATTCTCTAATTATCTCGAATTTTAATTAATTTATGAATACTCTGCATTTTATGAAACATTCAATGATGAATTTCGTTTTTCCTCAAAGAAAATTCTATTGTTTACATGCAGGTTCTTATCACACTCTATCTTAATGGAAAATACTTATATATTTCTGTTGGAATCGACAACTATGTAAACAATAAAAAAAAAAATACGATACTGCATTGTAGAACATGACGTATTGTTACTCATTGTTTCTCTTGTGTATCGTGTGTTCTATAAGCATATTATACTATAGATAAATTATACATGAATTAAATAGGGCACAATCATAAAATTGGGACAAAATAATAATTTTCTAGTGTAATGTATAATATATATTAATACAAGTATGTAAATAATACAATTACATAAGATATTCATGCGTGCACACGTTGCGTCGTTATTTGTTGAAAAATGTTTGTTTTTGTCATAATGTTTCATACATATGTCTAGATAAAAAGTTATTTATTATATACATTCAAACATAAATATTTAACTGGATCTAGATGTATTTAAATTTTAAATATATTTCGTCTTATATATTATGTATTTTTTGTTTTTGTTAACCGTACTCGACACTGCGGTTATAATCAGGTTTAGACTTAAGAAGGGATGATTACCTGCAATTGTTAGTTTATGATAATATTATTGGTGTTTTGTATACCTAACGCAATGTTCCCCTTAATCCGTATTCTATAAGTTATAATTATTGTTTGTATAGTTTATATTAGTACATTTTATAGCTGTAATTTGTATAAACATTTGCCGTATAATAGATAAGATATTATTATTAAGTAGGTATCGATTTTTTGTTTTTTATGAAGGTAATGGCTAGGATGCTATTATGATATACTACGTGGTATATTGTACTATGCTATTGATTATTATTATTCCTACTCTCTGATATTCCTTCCTTGTATACAAGAAGGGTCTTTGAATATTCTTCGGAAAGTTCTTAACAGTTGTCTGGCATATGCTTTTAAGATACATTTTAAATAGTTCGGTTATTGTTTGTTATTTGTGCAGTACCCTAAGATTTATGTATTGATTTTGTCAGAGTGGGCCCGTATCTAATACTGTTTAATCCACTTTATGCTAAGAATTATAGGTTTAAGTGCTTTCCATTTTTTCGTCATTAATTTGCTTAGCCGAAAGTTACTGGGCTAACTTTTCACGACGATTCTTATATTATGATTTGACAAGACAATTGTAATTATTTTAAAATAAGTAATCATTGTTATTAAATTTATAAATGAAAATGATCAATTAATATACTTCCGTTTGACCATATGGGTCGTATCAAATGCATGATATCTGTTATGTGTGAATTAATAAATAAACTTTATAACTACAGGTATATAAATATAGGTAACAGTATATTGATTTTTTTATTTGGATGAATACGTATGTTAAAAGTCAGGACGACTAGTAATACATTTTTGTTGAATTAAATGAAGCAAATAAGTTTTAATTTTTAGCTTGATTATTAAACAGCTTATATTTTTAAAGATTCACGAATGAAAAATTCTATTAAAACTTGATGGGTGTTAAAAAAAATAATAAATAATAATAACAGAGAAAACAAAATTAATAGCTATAACCATAATTACGAGCTTCACAGTTTTAAGTTTATGGGTAATTTGGTCTGATAATTTTCACGATAGCCCATAAAGACATTTTTAATAATTACTATTTAATCATAAAATAAAAATAAAAAAATCAATAAAACTTTAATAAATATAACGTTAAAGGCAACAGAGATTCACCAACATGAGGTATCCCACGGTGCAACGACTTTATAAAATAATAATAAAAACAATTGGAAATCCGGAACACTACTTTCAAAAGAGTTTCAAACGCACCACGGGGTACTCGGAAAATTTAAAGATTAATAACACTGTATCAAATTCAATCGAAAACAATAATACATTATTTTTACAATCGTAACTATATAATATATAGACATTAGAAATTCAAACGGTGGTAAATAATCGAAAATGTATTTATGATATTATGTAGTTCGTATGTATTAGTTTAATAATTTAATACAAATCTAATTCTTATACACATATTATATGTTGACTGATACAAGACAAGCGGATTAGTGATAATACCATATATTTTACATTACACGACGCATTCAATAATTTAACAATAATAAATAGAAAAAGAGGATATATTTTTATTACTTCATGAGATGTCCAAAACGTATTAACAAATTTGAAAATTAATGTTTCTTGTACAAGCCGTCCGGTAATATTATTAGACGGATTTTCATACAAAATGTTCATTTTTATTTTGTTCCGATGAAGTTTTTAAATTTAAATTATATGTTGATTAATTATTGTGATAGTCATTTTATATATGTATATAAAGAAAAAAAGGATTCAAAAATTAAAGCTTTAATGTTTAAGTATTTCAAACACGTTCTTGTTTACATTTTCAATGTCTCAGAGATACCATAAATAATAATGTTATTTTTAAAAATTTCGTCTGTCGTGTTCATTAATATAAATTTGGCAAATGTTTTATTTTCACGTCTACGGGTTCTTAATACTTGTGAATAGGAAGTTACACCTTAAAACGTACAAGACATAAACCAGCAGAATTTTGACATATCGGATATGAATATGATTAAGGCCGTGTCAAATGTAGATTCATATTTGATATTTTTGTTAAGTATATAAATAAAATTATTATTTTAATAACTTTGTTAAATTTCTGATGACAACACAAATTGGCATTTGAATGATGATGCAAAGAGTTATATGGGTTCTATATGTTAAGAAAGGTACAAAATACTTAATAGTATTATAGTTTTTGCTATTCCAAAAAATGTTTATTAAGTTGTAATATGAGTCATATGATATTACAGTATTTTAAACATGATTTAGTATTATTTAAAATTAATTTCTAGCAATTGATTAGTACCATTATATTGTTCATCAAATGTAATAGGTAATATTATATTATTTAAATTGTTACAATACGCATGAACTATAAATCATCGTTATTTTTAAGATTGATGAATATAATAATATTTCATCACATTTATGGATAATATTATGCAAATATTAAGGTATACTCACATTATTTCGGGAGTTCACATCTAATGGCTCTTTGATTACTCTTTTTACGGCATCTGGGTCATTTTTTATAACAGCTTCATGTAACAAAAGTTCGTTTTTAAGTACTGAAATGAATATAAAACATATGATTTAGTATAGGTACAGCATAATGAAAATTATTTATTTATTACATAATATACTTGAAATTATAATCAAAGTACATAATTAATAATTTTTAATTTAAACAAAAATACTGTGGTGGGTAAATTCAGTTTTAAATTTCACAATTTTAGCGTAGGCACAAAGAGTGCTCAAATATAGAATTCACAAATAAGTACCGATAATGAGCATATAATATTATAATTTTTTTGTAATCTGTACATTTAAAATTGTTATTATTCAATTATGAAAAATATGTTATGATTCCCTCATCAAAACCTATGTAAAAATAATGATTTTTAATGTTAATCAAATTTCAAACTTTTTACATATTATACGTATAATATTGTATAGTTTTGTTTCACTAGTTTATATTATGGTATATTGTTTCCAACAATTAAATGCTATACACTATGTTATCGTTTGATAGTATGTAAATATTATGTTTAACATAAATATTTTAATATAACCATAAAATATACATAAATGCGCGTTTATGTTTTTTTTTTTTTTTGTTAGGTGTTTCTTAACTATTTATTACTTACAGATTTAAAATTTTTGACAGCATACTAACCTTTAACTGTAACTTCTAAATTAATTTATTCATCATACAAAATTATAAGTAAAAAAAATTTGTCAGCATAATATAACAACTTATCCAAACAATATCTCTGATATTTCTGAGTTAGATATTTCTATATTTCTGATTATTGATTAATATAATACGATATGATGTGCGTCTCTCATCTCGATCGTATCAGCTTGAACTAACCAATTCAAAGACTAAATTAGTCTAATTTGACTATTATTGTCACCACAAATTCTATCGATAATGGTATTATGCGTTTGTATAATAAATAAGAAGGTGCTAAACGTTTTGTATTAATACTATTATTATGTCCGATTGTATTGAAATTACGACACGTCGTAGGTTACAACGCACGTTCCTAACCATGGTTTAATTTATGCATCAATCGCATTCTTATTTTTTTTTTTTTATAATTATCACACAATCATATAATATTATTATTATTATTTTATAAAATATAATACGAACCATTGCTCGTCCGACGACATCCTACTTCAGTTGGTGGCTCTGGATTTTCTTCACCACCACCCATGGATACTCGTCTCAACACCACACAGTCGTCTACCCTGAGCATATTATTACCGGCATTACCCGGAGTGCATCTGAAATCAATACACACACGCACAACGTTTAATATTATTGACAGTGTTATGTGTATTTAAACCTTAGGACCAAAATAGCATATTATTATTATACGAGCTTTTGAAATGTATATAGACGATAGCAAATATTGTAATATTATAAAAGCGCTAGCAGACGATAAACGATCTCAAACCGAACTGCTTTTACGCGTCTCCATATCATATTATTATTATTATTATCTAAGCCGATAATAATATTATTTCACTTCCGCAAATATTTATCGAAGGCGCATCACCGCCAATCGTCGTGGTTATATAATATAATGACGATGATAATATTAATATCATTATTTACACTCGTGAAACAGAATAAATATAATATTTATGTAATTAAAGAATTTTTTATTTTGTTTTAACTAGTTATACAATATAACTGATGCAAACGACAGATTCAGAACGTCAGTTCGTTTTCATAATAATATGAAATAGATGGTGTATAGAATATAAAAAAATGTACGTATAATAATATTTGTATGTACTGTATTAATTGTATGACGTATTAAGTAGGTATATTATGTAATACAATTCTCCTACTGCACAACGGTGAATAAAAAACCTCACCCAATATAATATTTGAAATATTTCATAATATTAAATTATATTATCACTCACAATGTTTACCAATAATCATTATTCATTATTATGGCAAACAAAAAAGTATACAATTCGTTTTATGCGATGGAGATAATTAAAAATAAAAGTGACTCAATTAAAATCCTTAAAGCATTGTAGTTATTTCTTGAAACCCAGTCATAACAGAACTCATTGACCGATAAAAATGTTTTTTCATTGTCTTCCATTTGGTGGAACCTATTAAAATAAGCAAAAACCCGTCATAACACGAAGAATGCAACAACAAATAGTGACGTTCATTTTTTTTTTTCGTCCTAGTAAAAACACCGGTTATAAAATATGGTAAAATTAAACGAAAACACAATTTTGCCTAATTGTACATGACGTGTAACATATTACAACGGCTATGAAAATTGTATTTGTTCTGTTGTAAAAATCGTAATATTGTTATTTTTGTTCTCGGTAAAAAAGTGCGGATGCACAAACAGTTTTGAAAATTGTTTACGGCATAATAATAATATTGTTTTTTGATATTATCTCATTTGTTGTTATCGGCCTTGTTTTATACTGCGAAACATGGATATAATAAGACATTACAATACCTAGGTATATTATTATCATAATAGTACCCAATTATTTTACATAATATAGGTACAAATACCCAAACATAATGTACGTAACCATTATGAGGTAGCTCATTATTTTGATACATTGGTTTCCTCAATAATTTATCAGTATAGAATCAAATAGCCAATAAGGGTCCTGTCAGTAAATAAATTTACGTTTTTTTTTTTTTTTTTTTTTTTCGTAAAGCTTTTAAATCACATCCTATTCTTATCATTTATTGAGAGATGTAACAATTTTAACCATTCTAAAATGTGTGAACCATATTCGAAATTTAAAACTATAAGTTAAATAATATAGTACTTATTAAAACGTTTATTCGAGAGGCCACTATTTGTTTTCTTTCTATGACCAACATGGTAAATTTCATTCAGCCACAGCCTTGTGTTGTTACCAACAATATAAGAATGGATTGACCTATTATCAAACTTAAGCCCGGAAATATTATCCGTGTATGTAAATGCGTTGGTCTTTTCCATTTAAAAGTTTTTTTTATGCGAGTTATGAGTATATTATTTAAAGTATAAAAAATTTAAAAACCATATTATAATATATCGTAGAAAATCGAAATATCATCAAAAGGCCAACGTGACAAAAAGTATACATAATTTTCATGGTTTTAATAGGGTTCTGCTAGCTTTCAAAATGGTCTCTATATGAACATAGGTCAGAGAGAGATAACAAATATTACATAGACATCTTCTTAATTGAAATGCACTTAAATACATTGATTTAAAAGATTGATGATTTAATGTTTTTGAAGCGTTTTAGTTTGACTCAATGCAAATACTAAATAGTATAAAATGTTTAATATAAAAATTAAAAATAATACTCATTTTAGTAATTAATACTGTTGTATTTTAAAGTATGCACTTAGCTTGAAGTATTTTAAAATACCTACTTCAGGCGATGTATATATATTTACATGACAATATGGTATACAATGGTGATTTTTTTGTTATTCAGCAGTTTTATGATCATACACTCAAAACTACTTATAAAAAAAAAAAATTAAAGATATAATCTAATTTTCTCTTGAGACTTTTGTCAGAGAATATAAAAGAAACATGAAAAAAAAATACCTAGATTAAAATGGTGTCGTGAATTATATGAAAATGTCACAGTTATGTTTTACTGTACATATACACTGTTACATGGTTGACTAATATAATATTAATATTGTAGACCCCCAATGTTGACTCAATTGAAAACCATTTCTAACGATCAAAATTTAATAACAACTTGAATTTAAGAAACATGTTTTTGATTATATTATATCTAATAATATTATGAAAAGTAGGCAAAAACCCTATACGAGTAAAATTAATGGAAAACCATTATAAAAATCGACGTACAAAATATATGTATAGTAAGACCTCTTTATAACGGAAACGCTCGGTACCGACTGATTTTTGAAAATTAATTTTCAGTTATGAAGGAGTTTCCGTCATAGGGAGACTAAAATATACAGGATATAGGTTATAAGGGACTGTTGTTTTTCAGTTGTACTAAGGAGATTTCAGTATTATATGGAAATTTTACTGTACTTATTACAATTTACTATGTAATACGACGTAAGTACCTAGTAGACCGGTATAGGTATAATTATACAGTTTATCGTACAGAACACTATAATATATATGTACTATAATACTATTATCTACTATTATTTTTTTTTTTATTATTTATGGCACTTGAATTATTAATTTCGTAAACAATTCCAATGGCGTAGTTAAATCCGGCAGATTATTGTTGAAAATGACAATGCAACGAATAAAGTAAATAGATAATTTTGTCTTCTTAGTAGAGGAGACTGTAGTGGTGCAGCATAATATAGCGGTGTACACTGTGCTTATTATACAGAGTAGCTTTATTTTATTTTGTCTGTTGGTGTACGTTACACTCCATAACTTTATACGATCTTGGCATATCTTTCTATTATATTAGTGTCTGTATATTAGATGGCCCAATGGTATATTCATCCATTTCGTTTTAATTATAACATTTTCACGATAAGTCTCTGTGCACAGGATACACGGTAGCTGGTATTGTGATGGTTGTAATTTGTGTTTTCGCTATATTATATAATATCATATTCTGCAGTACAATATTCGTCGTAGTTCAGATAACCATAGAGCATACATAGTTTAAATAATTAAACGCTATAATATTATTATATTCCCGTTTGTACGAGACGGTATCACATGACAAAATCCAATAACGACAGTATAGGCATCTCAATTCGATTACTTGTGTAAATACACTACACAAACTATAAAGTCATGCATTTCGTTAGGTACCTGATTAAATAATTTCCAAGCCAATATTATAGAGATTAGTTAATTGTTTTTAAATCTTTTTTAAATACCGACATCTAACGTAAAATGTTTAATTTGCTTGCAGCTACTGACAGTCCGCGACACGTTTATTATTGTATCTATATTATTTTGTCTGTAAGATTTCTGAGTTATTGATAACAATCGTGCTAACGAATGTTGACAACGGATTAATGAATAGACGCTTCAATACGATCTTAATAATATTTTTACTATAATTATTGTGGCATTTTCAATAGTTGCATAATCGCGATTATACTTGGTGGAAAATATTGTTTAGTGCTCTATGTTATTCCCCAGTAGAATTGTCAAATAATAATGTTTTTTTTGTTAAAAAGAATTAAACGTCATAATCTTTGTTTTGTTAAAGCACTTATATTTTGGCTACTTAACTTGCCTAAAGAACATTGTACCTACGCATATAAAAAATAAAATAATCACATTTTAAATTAAAAATAATATAAATGTATATTTAAGCAAGGTATTCAAGCTTCAAAAAAAAATATTGACAGATATAACATTGTCTTATTATTAAAAACAAAATTCTACATTAATATTTATTTAATATTAATTCTGTATTCAACAAATGAAATACAAAATTGACAGTTCGATTTAGCTATTGCTTATTGTTTTCAGATTTTACTTATGTTAGTAATTCAAAAAAATTTAATTAAATCAATCATAATATTTATTTTATGATAAAGATGTAAATCGTAAGGTTTAAAAATAGCTATTGTAAAACTGTTTTATAATAAAATAACTATGAGTCTCTACAAATAAACATCATAATATTATTTATTCACTGAAAATTATAAACTGGGATATAAGCAAAAAAAAAATTTCCTATACTATACATATATCATATAATATAGTATTTTTTTGTTTTCAACAGTTGAAGTACTCGCTTATATGTTTGTTTGTTTTTTTTTTTTTTAGAATTACACATTGACGTTTTTCTGGTGATACAATTTTATTTACGGGGGACGAGGTGGCCGAGCGGTCGAACACGTTGTCTGCGGCGCTGGCGGTCGCGGGTTCGATTCTCTCGACCACTGGGCGGCATTTTTCTCCGGGCAAGTCACAGTGTCACTCCGGGGCATGGCAGAAACCTACGGGTGCTCCAATAGAAATTCTGCCAAACACAACACACACGTGTAATAACCCTACAATTTCAAACCCTACTACCTATAATCATAAACCCTACAGTCAAGCTAACGACCATAGTCGCCGGGCTTTAAAAAAGATCAATTAAAAAAAAAAAAAAAAATTTTATTTACGAACGATAGGTAAACCGTTGTAGTTTGTACGAATTTATTTTTCTTTCTTATAATGTAAAAAATGATTATATTATAGTGTGAAATTAAATACCATTATTTACATTTGATTGTCTAGACATTTAGTAATAATGTTGATAAATAGAGAAATCAAGCGAAAGTACCGTTTACACAGTGACATTATTTATATTATTTGCCTACAGACATTAATTATTGAATATACGTAATATATAATATGATGTCAATATTAAAGTAATATAGTTAATATATTTTATATAAAGCTACATACTAATAATTAGAATTAGAATTAGAATATTATGCTTGGAAACTATTTTACAACAATGCGAGTGCGTATTTTTTAAAGATTTTTAACTTGCCAATTGTGGTCGAGCCATCTAGGGAAACTAGAATAAAATTGGAGATAGATGTAAAAAGTTGTTTGGTGTATTTCTGGTGGTGTTTGGATGCCTCTGATTTCTGGATATCGTCACAGATATCGTTATCATCGACGAAAATAGGTTCTTCTAGAGCAGCAAGCTGGTTTTGTGTGGCGATCGTTTTCAATTTTTTTTTTGTCAGTGTTTGAGGTTGAAATGGGGACGATTATAATATAAGGGACGTTCAATTCCGTATTATTACCTTATTAGCATAACTATCAACTGATTTTACCCGGTCGACTCTCGCAAAATATTGAAATGTATATTATCAATAAACGGTGTAATGCGTACAAAACATTGTCATAATAGTGTTTAATATTACACCATTTACCAGTGATATTACCATCACTTACCATCGCCTGCTGCACTTCTGGACGTGTTCAAACACACGCGGATATATATAATATATATATTATATTATTATCATTAAATGTCATATATTACGGAAACAGAAAGCATTCGTAATTGGAAACTACTTGGCTGTAGTACACGTACTATGTTCATCATTGAACGCCATCATCGTATTGTATTTGCAGACATGTGACGTATATGCACTTCACTGTTATATCAGCGAGCATTGTGTACAAGTACGATCTATAATACATGTACATTATATTATGGTGTACTAGGTTTATATATTGGTACGTATATTACATTATAATGTGTACGAATTGATGAGGGTTATTGCGTTGAATATATTATATTATATATACATGCAATATGTCTGCTTCACATAGGAATCGTTGCACAGAATCACTTATAAATTATGTAATAGCAATAACGTCGTATACATGCGTGATAATTGTATACAGCATGAATCGTAAACGTATTGAAACTATTTACTTTTTACCGATGCGCACACAGTAAAATACGGTAGATAAGACCGTACTACGGTCTGGAAAAAATATTACATACACATTTTAAATCGTACCTATATTGTAAATAAACTGGGTGACAACTGACAGTCGTGACAATAGAGGAAAGTCATAGGCAGAGAAAAAATATAAACCGCGTGAAACGTAAAATCGGCGATTATACGAAACATTTTTTTGACAATGTCTTTAGGTATAAGCAGAAGCGTACTCAGGGGGAGGGGGCTAACCGGCTGGTATAACAGCACTCACTAGGTATATATACTGTTTTATTTTAATTTCACATCTAATATTTGTTCTTTTTATAATAGCTTTGATAAAGTTCCAAAGAGCTGGAAGGCATGAACCGACTGATGTGTATTAAAACCCCTATTCCACCTTTCAGTATAATTATATTTTGTTCTTGGCATACCAGTTTGAGTTGTGGTAAAGTATAGCCGTATGGGTATAATGTAGTTTCATAATTTAATCGTAAATCTAAGGTTTCTCTATTTTCTTCTATTTGGTCGACCGATCCAAATATCTTCCAACTTACTATTGGAGGACAGTGGTTGAAAAATATCTTCATTGTTGAGATATATATGCTGTTGTATAGTATTTGAAAAGCACCAGTGACGTAATTTTCCGGAATCAAAGCCATTGATCACCTAATGAGCCAATGCAGAAGTAAGGAATTTCAAATTTCTAATGCGAATTCCTATGGTACCTAAGTTTTGTATTTGTCTACCTTTCCAAGAATACTTTTAACATACGTCTTGTGCACACCATTTTGGGAAAAAGAATTTTGAATTCATTTAATGAGCTTTTTTAAAAACTATCATTGTCGTTAACATATTCAAATTAATTTAATTAATATATTGAGGTTTGATTACCGGGAATAACTTTTCGTGTGAGCTTTGAATTATGTGTGGCATTTTAACGAAAATTACAGTAATATTTAGTTATTTTTTGACACGTGGGTAGTAACGATTTTATGAAATAGTGGAGGTGGTGATTTAAGTGTTCTATCAGTAATTCAATGTTCAGATTTAGCTAATAGTTCAAATACTTTTTTGTTGTGATAATATTAAAATTATATTTTCAATGTAATTTAACAAAAACTGACGACCATCAATAGTTTTTGACTAACTGACGGGTATATTAATTTATAATAATAGAGTATATTAAATATAAACATTAGGTTCTAACTTGATGTTCCCTGACCATTAACTGTTTGTAAGTATTTTTAAAAATAGTCAAATAAAATATACTTACGAATTATATTAGGTTGTTTAGCAGTCGTATACTTTTGTTGATCTACATTTTATAGTTTATTTCTCAGTTGCTATAACTTTAATTATTGTGATATTACAATTTATAACACTAAACAAAATAAATAATTTATAATTCTAAAAATACAGTTAAATTGTCTTTAAATATAATATAATATATAAATTCAAAATTAATTAGAATTGATTAATACATTTCCCTGATATATCTTATTACCCGCGAATTACCCTGTCCACTTTAACTGATTAATGTACTTGCACGTTTTTTTTTTAAATAAAGAAATTGTTTTCATTCGTTTAAAATTTGAATTACCTACTATTGGTTTGTATAATTTAAGTTTTATTAAAATATGATAAATAACACATTTTTTGGGCTTGAAATTGTATGAACTTTAATTACATTTCTGAATATTTGTATTATATTCTATAATTATTTTAAAATATATTATATATTAAATTTGTCAAGTGGCACCGCTGGGAACCTTTTTATTTTTACCTAGACGCCAATGTCAATTTTTTCATCAGACTTACTTATTATACCATGTTTTGTATAGATTGTAAATATCATATTGTTTTATAAACAAAAAAAAGGTTAATTTATAAAATTAAAAAAAAAATAACATAAATATTGTGTTACTTATCAGTTATCATATTGTCAGACGTCAGTCATCATGTATTTCAACACAACACATTTTGAATATCTAAAAAGAACATTTTATACTAACTATTTAATAGTTGTTGGTTTTAAATATTTAAAATCATCCAAATTAATTGACTATTATACACTAAGTGTATCTAACGCGAAATATGTTAAATATTACATAAAAACGAATAAGTATGCATAACAGAATATTTTTATTTTGTTTTGGATATAATAAAATGCCTTTTAAATTATTAATTCGCTTTCAAATATTATTTAGAATAATAATTATTTTTATTGTTTAAACGCAAACATAATTGATGTCTGATAGTGGTTTGTTAAAGTTTCTTCACAAAGTGGCTTCACCAAAATGTTCTCAGCTATCGTTTTAATAATTGTTATGGTGTGGTGAATGCCTACATAATATCACCCTACCTATCTAAACAATTAACTTTTACCTAAAGGTAACCTATAGATATTCAGTTTTAGATTTCTATTGTTCTTGTTTGATTTTAAATTGCATACATAGAGTATTTCCATTGAGTATATATGTTGTATAATAAATACTCAATGGTATTATATAATAATATGTGAATAGTAATATATATGTATAGTTTTACTTGTACATTTCAAGAAGGTTGCATATATTAATATTATATATATTATATTGTTAAAAGTTGGGTCTTAAGTATAGGTTTCAGTACGCATAATATAATGTTATTATAGTTTAGGAACAGAGATGCAAGTGATTTTCTTATTCAATACGCATAACGGAATCAAATGGATTTATCAATTCACATGAGAACAATAATTTCAAGAAGTCTTCCATTTTGTTTTGTATTCATTTTATCGTATAAGCAAGCAAACTACAGAAAGTAATGAGTATTACTTAGTTTAGGAAATAATTTTTATATCATTTTTGTTTTAGTGATTTTATTTTTTAATGTCTGCCCATACGTCTTCTGTTTTCAATTCTGAAGCAGTATAATTTACTGAACAGTTCAATGTGTATAGTTATGAAATACTAAATAAATACCAATATATTTTTAATTTAAATTTTGTTTATAACCATTTCCAATGTATATACGATGTGTGACAGGACATACCCCTAAACTATATTGTGGCGCATTATTATTATTAAGATTAATATTATTTTACTTTACATTTTTTATAAAATAATTAACTAGGTAATTGGTTCACCGACATGAACATAAAATATGTGGCTTCAGGATATTGAATTAAAAACATGAGTATGATTTTCGCGTATAATTTTCCACAGAGTTCGATGCCATAAAAATGTTTCACACTTGCAACGTGCCGAATTTCACTAGGAAAATTTAATGAAATAATTTTAATAGCACCATAAAAATATATATTCAAATATCTTACTATACTACAAAGAACAAACGAAATATTGTTATAATTCACTATAAACGTTTGTTGAATTCGGTATGGCGTTCGATATAATACTAATTGCAAGAATTTGTTATTTTAAACCTTACGGCTGTTTTATGAAACTAAGAAACTATTTGTTTACTGCCTATTCAGTTAAAATAAACGTTATACCTATATAACCTATTACTATACCTCAACTCTTGTACAAAATTATTCGTCATTATATAAAACATTATTTTAGTTTGAGAATTATAAAATCATATTTTTTCCAGTAAAAAATCGGTCACTCGATATTTATTATTTATCATACTATCATTATTATTTGTATAACTGTAACCTGTTTTTATGATATTTTGATTTTTCGTGTGGATAACTAAAATAAAAAAACTTCTCTCCCTAAAAAATATTATATTATATTATATTAATATGTTTCGATTGTGGAAGTCATATTATTTTCGTACATTACACGACATACGATATACATTTTGTAGTTATATCGAACCAATACAGTTATTATATAAATATATTATTATAATCTATACCTGCGCATGTTACCTATCAAAGTGGTTACACCCGTAAATCGTAAATTGCGCTTATCGCTGTGTTAAAATTGGATATATCCCTCCACAAAATAGATTGTGGGCAGTAGACAGATACTAGATAAACTATTTCACAAAGCGCACCTTATCAGTATGCGATCGCATTATAATATGGCCAATGCCTAACCCTCACCCCCTCACCCCCTCGTACTTACACGCATATTGTCGTTGTATCATTTATATATCGCCATAGTTGGTAAAAGCAGCTGTACCCGTTCTACATATTATTATTATAATACTATATAGCTGCAATAACGAATAACGGTGCTCTAATATTATTGGATTATTATACAGAACGGTGAAACACATAATATTATTATTATTGTTATTAAATATATCGTCGTCCTAGGCTGACAATCGTATCGCGTGATGATGGTCGGCCCGACGAGAGTATAGTTGTTGCCGTCGTCGGCAGTGTTGTCGTCACTTGTCGTCCCGTCGACAATCGAAAGTAAAAACGTCGAAAAATAAAATATATATTATATATCAATATTTGCCAACAACCAACGCCACACACCGCACGAGCAGCGTTATAATATATAACATTCGGCCCTCGAAGTTTCAGAACGTTTGGTGGTGACTTCAAAGGTCGAACAACTCGCCGACGGCAACGTGCGAAGGGTTGATTCCGAACCCCCCCCCCCCCCCCCGAGTGGGGTTTGGCCGACGAATTCGTCGTAGTCGTCTACTATAATATACCGACGTCTGGTCCGGAAACATTCTCCAAACCGGACGATAGGGAGCCGTCACATCAAAGAGATGACGTTTTTGTGGACAACCCGGCTGCAATATGTCTCGTTCGGCCTAGACGCAGTATTATTGTGTTTACGTATTAAAATAATTGCATTACAATTATAATCTCTTCTTGTAGATGATAAAGTCGTCTCAGATGCCTCACGGCGGAATATATTATTACCCACGAAGCCGATATACTCATAGCCGACGTCTGGTCCGGAAACATTCTCGGAACCGGACGATAGGGAGCTGGCACATCAAAGAGATGACGTTTTTGTGGACAAACCGGCTGCAATTATATGTCTCGTTCGGCCTAGACGCAGTAGTGTTGTAAATAGTTATTAAAATAATTGCATTACAATTATTATAATCTTTTCTTGTAGATGATAAAATCATCTCAGGTGTCTCAAGGCGGTACTTATATATTATCCACGAAACCGTGACAATTTTCAGCAACTTGTTATATTATTTTCTACATAATATAATATGTCGATAAATCTATCGAAAACAAAAATTAATTACATTTTTAAGCTCCGCTTAACATCCGCACTACGCATAATATTACGTTTAAATCCCTACTGTAGACTCCTCCGTGACATATTATAGTTACACGTCCTAGATTTCGTGCAGTTCTCATAATATTATACTATTTATAGATAGGTACACGTTTGGGAAACAGTATTTTTAAATTCTAATTTTACACGTTCCTCTCAGCTCTCCTAACTGACGGCTAACTTTTAGCCTGGAGGGTACCATCGATGGAGGATTTCCCTCGTCTTGCGTTTCATGTGTTATTTTTTATGTATATATATAGTGTTATGTCAGCCATCTGTTTTACTTATTGTGTCATGTAATACAGATTGTAAATTTTCTAAAATAATTTTTAAAAAAAAAAACTTTTAGCAAACTTTCATGTTAACAAATTACGTTT